CGAGTAACGCGGTCTTTCGAAGGCTGCGGATTGCCGGGGAGCGAAGCCCACAAAGCAGGGAGCGAGGAGGATCGGGAGTAAACGTGGCTGGATCCGCCGCCTTCCTCGCCCACGATGCACGAGCCTAGAGGACCGATCCACCGCTCTGATCCCGATCCTACTTTTTTGGGGGGGGAGTGGGGGGCTTCATCCAGTTAACTTCGCCCTCGCCCTCCAAACAGGCCCGATCCTTCCCCCCCCCCGGATCCTTTAACGCTCGTTTCGCTCCCGCCCCGGCCGCAGAATCGGGGCCCCCGTTTTTAAAATACCTCTCCGCCCAAAAAACCATCAGCTTCATCGGAGTTTCCCCTCCTGTTTACACCCCTTGCAAATCCGAAGCGGGGCCAGGAGCGACTCTCGTTCCTTCCTTCCGCCCCCCCCCCCCAAACTCCCCTACTCGGAAGCAACGACGCTCATCCCCCCCATTTCAATCCGACTGCACCCCCTTTCCACGATGAGCACTGCAAATCCAGACACCCCCCCAAAAAAAACAACCACCCGTGGGAACGCCTCTCCCCTTTCTGGGGGTGTCCTGGGATCCGCTCCGCACTTTTCCTAAATCTCCCCCCCCTCCAAGTTTTTCTCCCCAGGAGGGGAGCGAAAAACCTCGCCTCTCCCCGGCGCGCCACGAACGGAACAAGCCAGCCTCGGTTCTGCGCTGCCGTCGAGGCGCAAAACAAGCGAGAGAAAAGTCTCTCTCCGTTCCGAATCCGGCTCCGGATTTACCTTGGGCGAAAGCGGCGTCGGCTCCCGTGAAGACCCACAGCACGGCCAGGACCAGCATCGCTCCCGGAGGGCCGGCCGGGGTCCGTCGCTCGCTCGGGGCTCCGTCGTCCGCCCAGCAGCTCCGCCGCCGCCACCAGCAAGTCCGGCGGGGGACCCGCTCCGCTCCGGCTCCGGCGCCTCTCCTGGTAGCACAAAAGGCGGAGGAAGGAGGAGGAGGAGGAGGAGGAGAGAGGGAGGGAGGCAGAGAGAGGGAGGGAGGGAGGGAGGGAAGAAGGAGCGCGCCGGGAACCACTTTGGGATGGAGGGAGGAGGAGGAGGAGGAGGAGAGAGCGAAGCAGGCAGCGCCGGGGGAAGGGAGAGAGGCGCTCCGGATTGGCCTCCGGGGGAGGAGCGGGCGGAGGAGGCGCCGAGGCGCAACCCGCTGCTCCAGCCAACTTGGGCAAAGTTCTGGCACGTGTGGACGCGGCTCGGCAGGGGAGGCCCCGATCCGGATTTACTCCCGTGTAAAGGCTCCTCATAGGGACGCGGGTGGCGCTGTGGGTTAAACCACAGAGCCTAGGACTTGCTGATCAGAAGGTCGGTGGTTCAAATCCCCGCGACGGGGTGAGCTCCTGTTGCTCGGTCCCTGCTCCTCCCAACGTAGCAGTTCGAAAGCACGTCAAAGTGCAAGTAGATAAATAGGTACCGCTCCGGCGGGAAGGTAAACGGCGTTTCCGTGCGCTGCTCTGGTTCACCAAGCGGCTTAGTCCTGCTGGCCACATGACCCGGAAAAACTGTCTGCGAACAAACGTCGGCTCCCTTGGCCTGTAAAGTGAGATGAGCGCCACAACCCCAGAGTCGGCCACGACTGGACCTAATGGTCAGGGGTCCCTTTACCTTTATCTTTAAAGGCTCCTCAGGCGGAGGCCTTACAGATGGGGCTGGTGGGGACGGCGGCGTTCTCCAACCCGGCGCCCTCCAGATGTGAGAATGACGGAAGTGAAGAGACCCTCAGGGTCATCCAGGCCAGCCTCACGGAGATGCCATGTGGCTGGATGGCAAAGAGGCTGATGAATTCGGCCTCTGGGGTGGTCGACCTGGGCTGGCAGCCGCTGGCCTGGGTTCCAGGTGGCGCTGATGGTCCTTCCCTACTTGGAAGCTGGGGCTTACTCTGCCTGCTGAGCTGCACCTTTCTTCCAAAGAAATAAAGTAAAATTCTAGTCCTCATGGTTCTAAGTAAAGGGCTGGTTTGAACAGGAGCCTGGGAAGCTGCCTTCCTGGGTGGGAGGAAATCCCATGGATCTCAACGGCAGCTACTCCTGAGTAAGCCTGAATGTTCTCCAGCAGGGAGCGTGGGGCATGTCCAATTCTCTGTGCACAATGCGCTCCCTGTGCAGATCAGCTGAGGATCAGTCTGATGACTGGCAGGAAGGAATCCTAGCAAAGCAGGAAAACCAGGCCTACGTTTCAAGGGTCAAGGTTTGCCTTCCTGGCCCATTTGGATCCAGAATTGGCCTCTGCAGTCACTTACGGACTCATTGTTAAAACCGTGTTTATGGAAGACAATCTTACTTGGCTACGAGGGATCACCAAAGATGAAGAACTTGACAGCAAAGTACCTTCTTGATGTTCGCTTGTTTATTCCATGACTAAAAGGAAAAGGTAAAGGGACCCTTGACCATGAGGTCCAGTCGTGGCTGACTCTGGGGTTGCGGCGCTCATCTCGCTTTATTGGCGGACCAGCCATGTACAGCTTCCGGGTCATGTGGCCAGCAGGACGAAGCCGCTTCTGGTGAACCAGAGCAGCGCATGGAAACGCCATTTACCTTCCCGCCGGAGTGGTACCTATTTATCTACTTGCACTTTGACGTGCTTTCGAACTGCTAGGTGGGCAGGAGCAGGGACCCAGCAACGGGAGCTCACCCCGTCGCGGGGATTCGAACTGCTGACCTTCTGATCGGCAAGCCCTAGGCTCTGTGGTTTAACCCACAGCGCCACCCATGTCCCTATTACCTGACTACTCCACCTTTTTCCTCCAAGCAGCTCAAGGTGGCCCACAGACTTCTCCCCTCACCCATTTTATCCTCTCAGCAGCTCTGTGAGGTGGGTGAGGGACTGGTCCAAAGTCACCACAGTGAGCTTCATGGCTGTTGGGACCTGGGTCTCTCCCAGATCTTAGCCCAACACCCTAACCACTACACTGCACTGTCTTGCTTGGAGTGGGTGGCAACCGGACATAGGGGTTCAAGTCCAGGTTCCTAGGCCCATTTTACTTGAGAGTAAAGCTCCTTGATGTGACTTGATCAGAAGGTTTGTGAGCTTTTTTTAAGGGGGTTAGGGAGAAACCATGGTTACATTCCTGAATTTCCTGGGAGTAAGTCGCCTCCCCCATCACATTTAAAAAACGCCTGGGATCTGGTTCTCAAGCCCTGTGTCGCTTTCAGACAGGAGTTCCCCAGATCATTTGGGGACGGGTGTCCAGGCGCCATCTGGGTTGCCGAAATCTGTCTGAGAAGTTTAGTGATGATGGGCGTCTCTTGACGACTCTCCAGGCATCTCTGAATCACCTCCAGAGGCCGAAGGAGGCAGAGAATTAAGACATTCGGCACAGACAAAGGTTTCCTCAGGCTGAAGGCAATTCAGAGTTTATTTCCCTCCTTGCAAAGGCAGTTCTCTCGCGCTCTCTCTGACCTCCCAGAGGGGTTCTTGCACAACCTTTTGGGTACTTTGCTGCTGGGTCTTCATCTCAAAGGGGCTTCCCTGGTTCTGGGACCAGATGCCCTCTGAACTGTGCAGCTCCTGGAGGCAACTGGAGGGTGACTGGGATGTGCATGGAGACAGCATCATTGTCCAGTAGACCTGAAGGAGCGTCTCCACCCCCATTGTTCTGCCCAGACACTGAGGTCCAGATCCGAGGGCCTTCTGGCGGTTCCCTCACTGCGAGAAGCCAAGTTACAGTGGTACCTCAGGTTACAGACGCTTCAGGTTACAGTCTCCACTAACCCAGAAATGGTACCTCGGGTTAAGAACTTTGCTTCAGGATGAGAACAGAAATCGCGCGGCGGCAGCGGGAGGCCCCATTAGCTGAAATGGTGCTTCAGGTCAAGAACAGTTTCAGGTTAAGAACAGACCTCCGGAATGAATTAAGTACTTAACCCGCGGTACCACTGTACAGGGAACCAGGCAGAGGGCCTTCTCGGTGGTGGCGCCCGCCCTGTGGAACGCCCTCCCAGCAGATGTCAAAGAGAAGAACAACTACCAGATTTTTAGAAGACATCTGAAGGCAGCCCTGTTTAGGGAAACTTTTAACGTTTGATGTATTACAGTATTTTAATATTTTGTTGGAAGCTGCCCAGAGTGGCTGGGGAAGCCCAGCCAGATGGGCGGGGTATAAATAACAAATTCTTCTTCTTCTTCTTCTTCAGCCTGTGCAGTCTCTCACATCTGGGAGACGAAAGGGCCAGATTTTAAGGCCCACCCCTTCTCTCCTTGCAGGGTTGAAGGCATCTTCCCACAGGCAACAGCAGAGAGAGAGACAGCCTGTGGCCCCCTTCCTACCTGGGCAATCTCATCCAAAGGTGGGTCTCCCTGAAGGAGCATCTCCACCCACCCCCAGCTTGGACCCTGAGGTCCTCCTTCGAGGGTCTTCGACTGGGTCCCTCCCTGCAAGAAGTGAAGTTACAGGGAACCAGGCAGAGGGCCTTCTTGGCGGCCAGATGTCGAGGAGATAAAGAGTTACATCATTTTTAAAAGACACCTGAAGGTCCAGGGATGTTTTTAGTGTGTGATGTTGCATCGTGGTTTTAGTATTTTTTGCAGGGAGCTGCCCCCAAGTCAGGCCTTGAGTGGAAAGACACCCGCCCCCTCGCACACACCCACACACAGGTTGTGGTGTTCAGTACAACAAGCCACCACAAATCTGAGCCGTGCCAACGGGCCCTGATGTTGGCAGAGGGCCAGCATGCCAGTCAGCACCGTTCCCACAGGGAATCTGCCCACTAGTGGAGGACTCCTCCCCATAAAAACCCCACCACCACACCACAAGATTCCTGCATCTGCCCTTCCCTGTGTTTCCGTTTGGACCCATCCCAAAGTTCTGCCCGCACCCGCCTAGCTGCTTGGCATATAATTTATGTCCCACCTTTTGCCCAAGAAGCTCAAGGTGCCAGGCGAGGTTGTCCCCATCTGATCCCCATAACCCCCCCCCCCCACCCCGAAGTCAGGCTGAGAGGCAGTGACCTGCCCCAGCGTCACTCCTGGCGAGTAAGGATTTGAACCCCGGACTCCTGGGTCCCAGCCCGGCACTCTAACCACTAGGCGACACTGCGCCACGTTCCTCCGGGCTCCCATCCGCGGTTTCCCGCAACCCCCCCCCCAAGAGGAAACATCAAAGCAAGGGACGTCTTCTCTGAAGCGCCTGACCCTCTCCTGCCCCGTCTCGCCGCCTCGCCTCGCTTCCCCGGCTATTGGCTGGCGGGTGGCGGGGAGAATTCTGGATTTCTCCTCTAGTCTGCTTTGCCCCAGGCGGTGGTCTCCATGGCAACGCGGCTGCATCCCCCCCCCGCCAAATCCCCAGGAAGGGGGCTTGGAAGAGGCGGGGAGGGGGGAGCAGGGGGGATTAATCCTCCTCCTGCGCCCCCCCCCCCCGCCTGCCCACTAGGCTCAACCACCCTGGACGGGGCAAAAACTTTGACCTTCCCTTTGATCTGGAAGTTAGGAAAGCGCAGGGGGTCTCTAGAAGCTCACTGCTGCTCTCTGGCGGCCAGAGGGGGGCATGGCGGCCTCTGGCGGAAAGCAGCAAATATGAGTCTTCGCTCGGGTCCGCACGCCCCACCCCGAGAGAGCGCGGCTCCCCTCTCCCCCCCCCCACCCGAAGGATCCTGGGAAATGTGGTTTGCCAGGGATGCTGGGGGTCGCGGCTATGTGAGGGGTGGGCTAGAGTTCCTGGGATGCTCTGGAGGGACCCCGAGAGCCCTTGTGGCTGGCAGCCCTCTCCTCCTCCTCCTCCTCCGTGAATTTGCCTGATCCTCTGTTAAAGCCACCCAGGTTGGTGCCTCCAGTGGGAGGGAGTTCCGCAGTTTAACCCTGTGCTGGGTGAAAAGGGGATTTTCTTTGGTCCATCTGGAATGTGCCAACATCCAGCTTCCATGGATGTCCACCAGTTCAAGTGTTAGGAGACAGGGAGGAAAACTTCTCTCTGTCCCCTTTCTCCACGCCAGGCACAATTTTATAAACTTTTGTCATGTCTCCTCTTATTTGCCTCTTCTCCAAACCAAAAAGTCCCAAGTGTTGCTATCTTTCCTCATAGGAGAGGGGCTCCATTCCTCTGATCATTTGGGTCGCCCTTTTCACACACTAAGGGACGCAGGTGGTGCTGTGGTCTAAACCACAGAGCCTAGGACTTGCCGATCAGAAGGTCGGCGGTTCGAATCCCCACGATGGGGTGAGCTCCCGTTGTTCGGTCCCTGCTCCTGCCAACCTAGCAGTTCGAAAGCATGTCCAAGTGCAAGTAGATCAATAGGTACCGCTCCGGCGGGAAGGTAAACGGCGTTTCTGTGCGCTCCTCTGGTTCTCCAGAAGCAGCTTGGTCATGCAGGCCACATGACCCGGAAGCTGTACACCGGCTCCCTCGGCCAATAAAGCGAGAAGAGCGTCGCAACCCCAGAGTCGGGCACAATTGGACCTAATGGTCAGGGGTCCCTCTATCTTTACCTTTCACACACTGCATTGAAAGTGTGAAATCTTGGCTCCCCTTTTGTGTGTGTGTGTGTGTGTGTGTGTGTGTGTGTGTGTGACCCATGTCACATCAAGGAGCTTTACACACACATATATATGATATGCAATGTCCAGACTCATATTCTTTCCTTTCATAAACATATAACTGAGAATATACCTACAATCTCATGCTTATTCACTTTGTTCCTGCACAGGATTCTCCCTATTAACATTTCGGGATCTTCCTCTTTCTGCGTCACTTCAGGCAGATCATGCTGACAGGCACTCAGGATCCTGAAGAAACCTCCCTCTCTCTCTCTCTCTTTTTAAAAGATATTTATTAAGGTTTTCACAATATTACAAAATGAAAAAGAAAAAGAGAAAAAATACAAAATAAAAATAGTTAAAAACAATTCAATCTTTCCATCACTTATCTTTCATTTGCTTGTTTCCTGGACCTCCTCATACCTCCCTTTTTTGTATTCCAGTTCAATTTATTAGTTCAGCAAATCCTTTCCCTCTTTGTTTTATCCTGATCTTTAATCTTAATATATTATAGCATTAAATTTTTACCTGTTAAAAATCCATTTTTTCATATTCTTTTATACCATTACAGCTAAAAACCACTTAAATTCAATCCAACATCATTCTAGCATTCATTAATTTTGCAGTATTTGTGTAAATAGTATTTAAATTTCTTCCAATCTTCTTCCACCGACTCTTCTCCCTGGTCTCGGATTCTGCCAGTCATTTCCGCCAATTCCATGTAGTCCATCACCTTCATCTGCCATTCTTCCAGAGTGGGTAGGTCTTGTGTCTTCCAATACTTTGCAATAAGTATTCTTGCTGCTGTTGTGGCATACATAAAGAAAGTTCTGTCCCTCTTTGGCACCAATTGGCCGGCCATGCCCAGGAGAAAGCCTCTGGTTTCTTCAAGAAGGTATATTTAAATACCTTTTTCAATTCATTATAAATCATCTCCCAGAAAGCCTTAATCCTTGGGCACGTCCACCAAAGGTGAAAGAATGTACCTTCAGTTTCTTTACATTTCCAACATTTATTATCGGGCAAATGATAGATTTTTGCAAGCTTGACTGGGGTCATGTACCACCTGTATGTCATTTTCATAATATTCTCTCTTAAGGCATTGCATGCCGTAAACTTCATACCTGTGGTCCATAACTGTTCCCAGTCAGCCATCATTATGTTATGTCCAACATCTTGTGCCCATTTAATCATAGCAGATTTCACCGTTTCATCCTGAGTATTCCATTTCAACAGCAAGTTATACATCTTTGACAAAATCTTAGTTTTGGGTTCTAACAGTTCTGTTTCTAATTTTGATTTTTCCACCTGGAAGCCAATTTTCTTGTCCAAATTATATGCCTCCATTATCTGATAATAATGAAGCCAGTCTCGCACTTTGTTTTTTAATTTCTCAAAACTCTGCAGTTTCAATCTATCTCCATCTTGTTCCAAAATTTCCCAATATTTCAGCCATTTGACCTCCATATTGAGCTTTGAAACCTCCCTCTCTCTCAGCCATTGTCCCTCACTCACACAGAGAGAAGAGCAGAAAAGGCAGTTTAAAAACGACAGTTTCTGGAATAACAGTCACAACGGAATGGAATGCCTTTCCCATGTGACTCACAGTCAGCCAATCACATGAGAGAGCTACGGCCAAAGGAAAAACCCCATGTCAAAAAATGCACAGCAAGTCCCCTTCTCCTTAACACCCCCCTGGAAGGGATGCTGGGAACGACTGCTCTGCAAGGGATAAACTCCTGGGATTCTTTAAATGTCTGAAATCCTGGACAGCCTCTGCCAGCCAGGGATGGTCAGAATCACTAGATGGCACCTTCCTGCTTTTCTGTTTAAAGCAGCCTTTTCTTGCACACCATGAGGACTGGAATCTTACTTTAGCATAAAGGGAAGGGCTGCGGCTTGGTCGTCAGAGCATCTGCTTGGCGTGCAGAAGGTCGCAGGTTTGATCTCAGGCAACATCTCCAGGTAGGACTGGGAGAGACCCCTGAGCCCCAAATCCCAAAGAGCTACTGCCAGGCAGTGTTGACAGTATTGAGCTAGGTGGGACCAGTTACTAGGATATTTTTAAGGCCCCTTCTTATGACCCTCCTGGCTTTTGTAGTGCAGGTGGAAGGCAAGAAGAGGAAACTGTCTTCTCCCACTGCCCAGCACATGTAATTAACTTTTTAATTCATTGGTCAATCAATTAACAGCCAAGTAGGGGGGCTGCCTTCTTGCCAGAAATGAGCTTTCTCTTTCAGGCTAAACCACAGAAGATGGAGCCAGCTTGTTTTCTGCTGCTCCAGCAAGCCAAGCAAGTGGATTCAAAATGCAAGGAAGGAGATTCCTGCTAAACACCCGGCTGGGATTCTGGAGCTGGGATTGCTGCATTGCAGAGGGCTGGACTAGATGACACTTGGAGACCCCTTCCAACTCTGCAATTTTGGGATTCTTTGAAATAAACCACACTTTAAAAAGCGTGACGAAGAAAAAAGGCCTGTGTTTTGGTCGATAGCTAGCCCTCGATATAGTTTAGAAAGAAGCACATTTGGCACTCAGGAGACCTCACACCCCCTTTCACGGAGAAACGGGCTTCTCGCGCAGACGGCAGATGGACCACACGGTCTCCTGGCAAAGGAGCTGTCCGAAAAAGCAACATCAACTCCTCGACCCGTTTTGCTGGTTTCGTCCTTGAGCAAAGCTGCTCCAGAATGCCATCCTTGCATTCCCGCACTTTGCGCTGGGGAAACCTGGACCTCCTAGGCTCGCTCGCCTTCCCTGTCTCGCCTCCTTCACACGGATCTGGGACCAGCAGAGGGTTAATTTTAGACAATTAGCTGTGTCAGTTGAACTAAGTTAACAGGTGAGGCAGGAATAATTTGCTTGAGGGAAGAATGGTAGGGGAGAGGAAAGAGAGATGTCGGAAAGGTTCGCTCTAAGAGGAGCCGGCAGACGAGGGCCTGTTCACACAGCCATGTGGGAGACGGGTGGGCAGCAACCATGTTTGTGGTAGGCTGAGCATCTCACCGGACCACGTTCAGAGGCAGCGACATCTCTGAACAGCAGTTGCTTGAAATGGCCAGAGGGGAGAGGGCTCTTAAATGCTTTGCTCCCAAACTGGTTGGCCACTGTAAGAACCGGACACTGAACTAAATGGAAACCCTTTGGCTTGTTTCAGCAGCCGGGCTCTATTCATGGGGCCTCCAGGTCCAGAGGCAGTCTACCTTAGGGGCATTTGACCACTGTGAGGACAGGAGGCTGGACTAGATGGGCAGATGGGAAGATTCAGCAGTCCTGGCTTGTGTACTTATAGAACCTCCCAGGCCAGGGACAGTGATGGGCACTTTGCCCACCTGTAGAGGAATCACCTTGCCAACAAAGGTCCGTATAGTCAAAGCTCTGGTTTTCCCAGTAGCGATGTATGGAAGTGAGAGCTGGACCATCAAGAAGGCTGATCGCCGAAGAATGGATGCTTTTGAATTCTGGTGCTGGAGGAGACTCTTGAGAGTCCCATGGACTGCAAGAAGATCCAACCTCTCCATTCTGAAGGAAATCAGCCCTGAGAGCTCACTGGAAGGACAGATCCTGAAGCTGAGGCTCCAAGACTTTGGCCACCTCATGAGAAGAGAAGACTCCCTGGAAAAGACTCCCTTGGGAAAGATGGAGGACACAAGGAGAAGGGGACGACAGAGGACGAGATGGTGGGACAGTGTTCTCGAAGCTACCAACACGAGGGAGGCAGTGGAAGACAGGAGTGCCTGGCGTGCTCTGGTCCAGGGGGTCACGAAGAGGCGGACACGACTAAACAACAACAACAACAAGAGGAATCGTGTGGTGTTTCTGCAAGCTGCAGCAGTTAAGAGGACATTATTACCTCATAAGAGGAGCCTGATGGGTCCGACCAGAAACCCATTTAATGGCACATCCAGTTCTCACAGTGGCCAAGCAGAGGCTGGTTGAGGAACCTGGAATCTAGACCCAAGTGCAGCAGAACTCCTGCATTCTTTGGCTTCCAGCAACTGGTATTTGAGAAATATTGCTTCCTCTGACCGTGAAGGCAGTGCAAAGCCATCCTGATTAGTAGCCATTAATAGTCGTCTCCTCCATGAATCTGTCTAATCCCCTTTTAAAGCCATCCAGGTCTCTGGCCGCTGCAGCCTCCAGTGGCAGGGAGTTCCACAGTTGAACTATGCATCCACCTGTCCTGAATCTTCCAACCACCTCAGTAGAGTGCTTGGGCGTTTTAAGCCCTAATTCTACACCATATCCGCGCTCCAGTTCTGAGTCGACAAAGACTTTCCCGCCACAGCTCACAACCGAGCCACCCTGAGGTCATCTGTCCGCACTTTCCCCCGGTGTCCTTGTGTGAGCCGCCCTTTGGCTTTTGCCCCCCGGCCGTTTCAAAGAAGCTTCCCCCCCCCCCGCCAGCCGCCAGGTCCAGCTGTCACAGCGCAGTGAGGTAAGAAACGAGCAAGACTAATGAATGCAATAACAGCCACTTAAAATAAAGTATGTTTTATTAAAAGCAATAATGGCTCCTCGTGTCGGGACGTGGCATGCGGTTTGCTGCCGGACCGAGAATGACAAATCGACAGTCCCCAGACCACTCTGCCCTTCGGAGATATCTGCGGACGAGAATTTGGCTGGCTTCCACTCCAGGACTGAATATAAGAGCAGAAGAAGGACCTGCTGAACCAGGTAACGTCTCACCTGGCCGAGCCTCCTGTTCTCACAGTGGCCAACCATAGGGGAAGCCTCCCAGCAGGACCTGAGTGCGAGAGCAATTCTATCCTTCTGGGATTTCGAGCAACTGGTTGATGGATCGAGTTTTCTCACATGCTGCTTTCGCGCAACGAGCTCCGCCAAAAGTGGCTTGGGGCAAACATCCAAAACACCGAAATGCAGAGCATCGGAAATGCAAAATATTCAAAATACAGAGCAGGCCTGTAAATTCAGAAATGACAAAAAGCAATGATTCGGTGAACACAGAATAAATTCAATATCGCAAAATGATCCAGCTTAATTACATAAATACAAAGCAAAACAAGAGCTCACCATTTTCTGGCCCTGGTCTCTCTGCGCTGCAAGGAGCTTGGCCTACATAAAGCACAGAGAGGAGAGAAAGATGACAGGCAGCTTGCCTCCCTCACGCTTACTCCAGAGGAGGCTGGCAGCAGCAGCAGGAGGGCACTGGTGGTCAGCCTCTTCTCCACCCTCCTGGAAGTCCAGCTGCTGGCCCGTGTCTTATTGCACTAGGATTCAGAAGCACGACTGCCTTTGAATTTGTCCAATCCTCTTTCAAAGCCATCCAAGTTGCTTGCCATCCCTGCCTCCTGTGGCAGTGAGTTCCGCATCCCAACACTGCCTTGCTTTGATGGTGTAGTACAGTTCTGAGATGGTGTGGGCACATGCACACACAACCCTCCTGCGTTGGCGGGGGCACCTGAGCAAATCGTGGGAAGCCGCCTTCTACCACCTCGTCCATCTAGCTCAGTACTGCCAACACGGGCTGGCAGCAGCATTTCAGGGATTCAGGCCAGGAGCCTCTCCCAGCCCAGCCTGAAGATGGATTGAACCAGGGACCTTCTGCATACAAGCCAGGTGCTTGAACACTGAGCTTGGCCCCATCTGCGGACTTTATTGGGGAAATGGAGGGGCTGCCATGAGCCCACTCCTATTCCCCCCCCCAATTTTTTAATTCATTTTATAACACAAATAAAAAACACAAACAGAAAAGACAAACAATACAAATTCTTGTCATATCCTTATTTTTCTAAGATTGTTAAGTGGGCTTCCCCAAGTCCCCCCATCTGATTTTCATTTTACTTCATCTTTAGCAGTTTACATATATCATAATTTCTAACCATCTTTTTTTTTTTAATCGCACTTAAAATAACGTCACCTTTTATCACTTACAAATAATACTGTTTTAAAATACCCTATCTTCTACTTCTAACCCTACAGCCTATACCCACTTCCAAAACTATTCTAAGGTTTAAATATTAACACATTTTTTCAAATATTCCTTAAACTTCTTCCAGTCTTCGTCCACCGTCTCTTCTCTCTGGTCCTGGAGTCTCCCGGTCAGTTCAGCAAGTTCCATATAGTCCATTCTCAGAGGAGAAGATGGTGAAATGCAAACAGGGGACACAGAAAGGGCTGAACTCCTCAATGCCTTCTTTGCCTCAGTCTTCTCCGATAAAGAAAACAATGCCCGACCTGAAGAATTTGGAGCAAATGATTCAGCAGAGGAAACACAGCCCAGAATAACTAAGGAGATAGTACAAGAATACTTGGCTAGTTTAGATGTATTCAAGTCTCCAGGGCCAGATGAACTGCATCCAAGAGTATTAAAAGAACTGGCAGATGTGATCTCAGAACCACTGGCAGTCATCTTTGAGAATTCCTGGAGAACAGGCAAAGTCCCGGCAGACTGGAGGAGGGCAAATGTTGTCCCTATTTTCAAAAGGGGAAAAGAGAGGACCCAAATAATTACCGCCCAGTCAGTCTGACATCAATACCAGGGAAGATTCTGGAGCAGATCATTAAGCAAACAGTCTGTGAGCACCTAGAAAGGAATGCTGTGATCACCAGTAGTCAGCATGGATTTCTGAAAAATAAGTCATGTCAGACTAACCTGATCTCGTTTTTGACAGAATTACAAGCCTGGTAGATGAAGGGAATGCAGTGGATGTAGCCTACCTTGATTTCAGCAAGGCATTTGACAAGGTGCCCCATGATATTCTTGTAAAGAAGCTGGTAAAATGCGGTCTTGACTATGCTACCACTCAGTGGATTTGGAACTGGCTGACTGACCGAACCCAAAGGGTGCTCATCAATGGTTCCTCTTCATCCTGGAGAAGAGTGACTAGTGGGGTGCCACAGGGTTCTGTCTTGGGCCCGGTCTTATTCAACATCTTTATCAACGACTTGGATGATGGAATCAAGGGCATCCTGATCAAATTTGCAGATGACACCAAACTGGGAGGGGGTGGCTAACACCCCAGAGGACAGGATCACACTTCAAAATGACCTTGACAGATTAGAGAACTGGGCCAAAACAAACAAGATGAATTTTAACAGGGAGAAATGTAAAGTATTGCACTTGGGCAAAAAAATGAGAGGCAGAAATACAAGATGGGTGACACCTGGCTTGAGAGCAGTACATGTGAAAAGGATCTAGGAGTCTTGGTTGACCACAAACTTGACATGAGCCAACAGTGTGATGCAGCAGCTAAAAAGCCAATGCAATTCTGGGCTGCATCAATAGGAGTATAGCATCTAGATCAAGGGAAGTAATCGTGCCACTGTATTCTGCTCTGGTCAGACCTCACCTGGAGTACTGTGTCCAGTTCTGGGCACCACGGTTCAAGAAGGACACTGACAAACTGGAACGTGTCCAGAGCAGGGCAACCAAAATGGTCAAAGGCCTGGAAACGATGCCTTATGAGGAACGGCTAAGGGAGCTGGGCATGTTTAGCCTGGAGAAGAGGAGGTTAAGGGGTGATATGATAGCCATGTTCCAATATATAAAAGGATGTCACATAGAGGAGGGAGAAAGGTTGTTTTCTGCTGCTCCAGAGAAGCGGACACGGAGCAATGGATCCAAACTACAAGAAAGAAGATTCCACCTAAACATTAGGAAGAACTTCCTGACAGTAAGAGCTGTTCGACAGTGGAATTTGCTGCCCAGGAGTGTGGTGGAGTCTCCTTCTTTGGAGGTCTTTAAGCAGAGGCTTGACAACCATATGTCAGGAGTGCTCTGATGGTGTTTCCTGCTTGGCAGGGGGTTGGACTCGATGGCCCTTGTGGTCTCTTCCAACTCTATGATTCTATGATCTTCATCTGCCATTCTTTGATAGTTGGTAAATCTTGTTTCTTCCAATTCTTCGCTAACAATATTCTCGCAGCTGTTGTGGCATACAGAAAAAAAAGTAACATCCTTTTTGGGAATTTCACCCCCCCCCCACTATACCAAGTAAAAAGGCTTCTGGTTTTTTAATAAATGTGTTTTTCAACACTTTTTTCAATTCATTATAAATCCTTTCCCAGAAGTCTTTTACTAGCAGCCACTCCCAGGAGCCAAGAGGTCCTCACCCCCCAATACAATATTTGAGGGGGCTGCCCCCCCCAGTTGATGGGCACTGCCATTCAGATGGGGTGCATGCACCGCGTTACATGATCCGTTACGCAGGGTGGGGCTTACCTGCCCCCCCCCCCAATATTTGAATCAAGTTGGCACCCCTAGAGGCTCCTAGCCACAAACGGTGTGTACTACTGCATTTCAGCAAATACTCTGAATAATACTGGTTGCAGAGAATTGCAAGTGGGAGAGAGTGGCTGCTTTTGTGTTCACACCTTCCTCTTGGGCTCCTGTTTTTTTTGGGGCGTCTGTTTGGCTGCTACTGTGAGAACAGGGTGCCCTTTGGCCTGGTCCAAAAATAATTATAAAATGATAGAAAGAGATTTTCTAGGCCAGAGAGAAGTTTACCTTCATCTCGAATTAACTCTGGAACTGATGGACTTCCAAGGAACCAGAACATTGAGAGATTCTAGTTACAGGTAGGTAGCCGTGTTGGTCTGCCATAGTCGGAACAAACAAACAAACAAATTCCTTCCAGTAGCACCTTAGAGACCGACTAAGTTTGTTATTGGTATGAGCTTTCGTGAAGAAGTGTGCATACACAGGAAAGCTCACACCAATAACAAACTTAGTTGGTCTCTAAGGTGCTACTAAGGGACGCGGGTGGCGCTGTGGGTTAAACCACAGAGCCCAGGACTTGCCGATCAGAAGGTTAGCGGTTCGAATCCCCACGACGGAGTGAGCTCCCGTTGCTCAGTCCCTGCTCCTGCCAACCTAGCAGTTCGAAAGCATGTCAAAGTGCAAGTAGATAAATAGGTACCACTCCGGCGGGAAGGTAAATGGCGTTTCCGTGCACTGCTCTGGTTCGCCAGAAGCGGCTTAGTCCTGCTGGCCACATGACCCGGAAGCTGTACGCCGGCTCCCTCGGCCAATAAAGCGAGATGAGCGCTGCAACCCCAGAGTTGGTCACAACTTGACCTAATGGTCAGGGGTCCCTTGACCTTTACCTTTAGCCGTGTTGGTCTGCCATAGTCGGAACAAACAAACAAAAAAATTCCTTCCAGTAGCACCTTAGAGACCAAGTAAGTTTGTTATTGGTATGAGCTGGTATCTGAAGAAGTGTGCATGCACATGAAAGCTCATACCAATAACAAACTTAGTTGGTCTCTAAGGTGCTACTGGAAGGATTTTTTTTGGGGGGGGGAGATTCAGGAGAGATAACAGAAAATACTTCATGTAGCATAGAGTTAAACTGCGGAACTCCCTTCCACAGGAGGCAGTGGGGGTCACAAACCTAGAAGGATTTTTAAAAGGATTGGACAGAAGCCGGGAGCCGGTCTCACGGTCCAGAGCTGAGCGCTTCCATAGCCACCCTGCAGAGGGCAGTAGCGACACGCATTTCCCTAACCAATGGACCACACTGCCATTCCATGGGCAAAGATGGAAACCGTGTGTGTGTGTGTGTGTGTGTGTGTGTGTGTGTGTGTTTGTGTAGAGCCCTCCAGAAGGCAACTCTGAACCGCGTTGCCAGTCAGGTGGCTTTCTGAAGAGGGTCTCTTTTGGGAAGGCTGGCGAATCAAATTAACCGGCTCGCCAGGCACAATTACGGGGAAGCCCGCGGTGTGAAATGCGCCAAAATTAAAACCCGCCGTGCAGGGAGCCGGGAGCCTGCCGCTTGCGCAGAGCTGGCTGCATCAGGTGGCGGAGGAAACGGGGGAGGGGGAGAAGGGGTTCATCCGCAGTGCCAAGGAGCCCCCCCCCCGCTCCCATAATTCTCTCTCTCGCCCCTCGCCGGCCCTGGGCCCTGTGGGGGACTGGCAGCCTGGCCGTGCGCAGCGTGGCTCTCGCTTCCTCGCAATAAAACGCATACAGAGCCATACAATTGCAGGGCCGGAAGGGGACCCGAGGGTCATCTAGTCCAACCACCTGCAATGCAGAAGTCACTTTCGGACACGGGCAAGAAAAGCAGGAATGCGGGTGCCAGGAAGGACAGAAATAGGTCAAAAGAGAGCGCACTTGAATTTGTTGTGCATTCAATTATTTACCGGGCCCCGCCCCACTTAACTGCGCGGCCTCCGCATAATGTTTGAGGACCTTGGACAGCTCTGGGGCTCTAAGGACACCCGCCCGGTGCACTGAGGTGGCCACAGGGTGAATGTCGTGCTTGCTGCCCTCTCAGCTTACATGTCGCCCTCCCCAACGGAGCACCGTCCAGGGCTCAAGAAGGTCGGAACAGCTCTGAATCAGGCCTGGGGGGCCCGTCCCAGTCGCTGGAAGGCAGGAGAGGAGAGCGCTCTTGCGCTCAGGTTCCCGGGCTTCCCTTCGGGGCCACTGGCAGAGAGGGTGCTGTTCCGATGGAACCTCCAGGTCCAGAGGCAGTCTATCTCGATTCCTGGCTTCTTAGGGTCATTTGGCCACGGTGAGGACAAGAGGCTGGGCTCGATGCTTCTTCCCCTTTGGCCTGATCCAGCAGCCAGACTCGCCACAGGGAGATCTACTGCGCTAGCAGAACCTCCACGCCCAGCGGCAGTCTACTTCTGAACGCCAGAGAGCGGGGGCCACACAACGGGAGAGATGCCCTTGCGCTCAGGTCCTGCTCGGGGACTTCCTTTGGGCGCCCCTGCTTGGCCACCGGGCGAACAGGAGGCTGCGCGAGACGGGTCCTGATCCAGCAGGTTCTTCTTGCAAACCCGAAGCCGGGGAGCCAGCCTGGGCTCCCTTCTCGCCGCCTGCCTGCCTGCCTGCCTGCCTTCCCTCCCCACCCTTCCTCGAGCGCCTCGGGCACAACAGGCTCCCCCCGCCGCGCGCCGAGCCCGATGAAAGCCCATCTGTGACAATCATCATAACAATCATGACGATATTTATACGGAGCCTAATGTCTCCGAGCATCCTCGAGGAAGCCACGCCGAGGCGGGCGCGGCGCCCGCGGCTCATTAGGAGCAGCGCTTCGCCGCTCCGGGCGCCCGAGGAGAAAGAAGGGGAGGCGGGCGAGCGAAGGAAGGAAGGAAGGAAGGAAGGAAGGCGCTCATTACAGCTCTTCTCCTCGCCTCGCCAAACGGGGAGTTCGGGGGGGGAGAGAGAGCGCTTATCCCACCCCTCCCCACACCGCACTTGGCAGCCGGGGCCTCTGCTGCCTCGAGGGGACAGGATTGTAGAATGGTAGAGTTGGAAGGGACCCCCAAGGGGCCTCTAGTCCAACCCGCTCCTGCAACGCGGGAATCACAGCTAACCTGGAGGAGGAGGAGGAGTGGCAGGTTTTGTGCACCGGTGGAGAAAAGGCGCGGAGGGATCTGGCCCACGGGCTCGATTCACCAGCAGGAATCACCTACGCAAGCTTCGTCCCAGGCGCTGGTCGGCAAGGGGAAACAGGGTTCAGCAGGAAGTGGGGTTTTCTATCCAAATCACGGGTGGGAAGGATAAGGCCCCAAAGAGGGCGCAACAAATGCGAAGCTCTCTGCTTCTGGCGCCCGGGACGCTCTCCAAGCTACCGTCCCCCTTAGCCACAGCGCTTACCCCAAGCCACGCCCCCTCTCCCAGACCACGCCCCACCTTTAGGTCACGCCCACATTCCCAGGCCACGCCCCTTACCGCTCTTGCTCCGCCCCTTCTTTGAGTATTTTGACCTGGTTGGAATCTGTCCTTGAATGCAGACTAAACGCATCTTGCCCGCTTGGCTGGAGGATAGAGGGGTCGGTGTGGGTGTAAATTAGCATATGTTGCCCCACCCACTTTGCTCCTGGCCCTGCCCTCCAGTGGCATGTGCCCCTCCCACTGACTTGGCCATCAAGCCTGCCCATGCCAGGCAGTTTCGAGCGCTTCTATTCAAACTAGTCCTCACCTGTCTTCAGAACGGTGAGGACTAGATCCTTGTTTTGGTTTTGGCTGAAGGGCCACAGAACTGTGAGAACAGGATGCTGCGCTATGATCGCTCATTGGCTGGATCCAGTAGCCTGGCTCTTCTCGTGTTGGAACCTCCAGGTGCGGAGGCAGTCTATCTTGACGCCCAGGTTCTCTTTGGCCCCTGCGAGCGGAGGATGCTGGACGAGACGGGCCCCCCGTGGCCCGATCCGGGCTCCTCTGAATGTTCAAGAAGCGTCTCTGCCGTCACAAGCAAATGGTGGGGTTCCCTCCCCCTTTTTTCCCGGGGACGCGAAGGCAAGCAGGGAAGAAAATGAAAGCCTTCTGACGCGGAGCAACAGGGAGCGAGGAAATAATTTGCAGGCTTCTCGGAGGGCTTTGGGGACTGTGGCGCAGGAAGCGGGGCCTCCCCGACGAATAATTGGCAGGGCTGGAGGCCTCGGGCTCCGCGCCCGCCCCTCCGCGCGCTCTTCTTCGCAGGCAATTACCGGCTCGGCCTCCCCGCGCCCGCTCGCCGCTCCTGCCGGGGTGACCTCCATTCTCTGGCAATTAACGGCTCGCCAAGAGGGAGGCTGCCCGGTAGAGCTCTTCCCGGCGGAGGGAGAGACTCATTAGGAGAGCGGCAGGTAATTGGAGCAGATGGAAGGAGGGGCAATGAGGCTGGGGGCGCCCCAAGGCTGGGAGAGAGGGAAGGGAGGAGGGGGGATCCCCCAACCCAAAATGCAAGCCCCGAACACGCGCAAACAGGAACGCAGGAAGCTGCTTCAGGAAGAGCCAGACTGCTGGTCCATCCGGTGTCCCCTACTCTGACTGGCAGCTGCACCCCAGGTTTTAAGGGCAAGAGACTCGCCCACCTGGAGATGCTGAGGGGGCTTCTGCAGATGCTCGCCCACCGACCTGCAGCCCCCCCTTCAATTTAAAGGAAGATTCCAGTCCTCATGGTTCAAAACTGAGGAGCTATTCTAAGATTGGTCCATCTGGCTTCATATCGTCCACACTGATTGGCAGCCGTGTCCGGGTTTTAAGGGCTGGAGCTGTAAAAGAGCTGCGAGTCAGCCAGGAGGGATTTGAACTCGCATCCAGGAGCCCACCTCTTCTCTCTGAAACGCCAAGTGTATTGTGAATTGCCTTTTCTCCACCCACTGTCCCCAAATGGAATCCAAACCTTCCTGCAATGATAGCAGGACTTCCTGGGCCGACTCTTTGCCTTCTCTCCTCTTCTCATTTGGTATTGGGGGAGGGAGGAGAGAAAAGGGGGGGGGGTCTTCATCGGAAGACCGAGCCCACTGCTGCAAGCGATTGCCACTAGAGGCTCATCCTGGAACTGCCACCCCCGTAAAATGATATTTTTGAAAAATGCATTTCCATAACCATTTGCTAGAGGCAAAGATCTCTCCCTCTGCCTCAGGGACAGCCTGGCCTTCCGGGGAGAGGAATCTGGAACCCCCCCCAGGCAGAACTGGTGGAAGTCTCAGGAAGATCACCCCAGGAGGGTGTGGAGATGGAGAGCTGTACCTGGAGAAAGAAGAGGGAAGAATTTCTCTCTGGGTTCAGAGGAGAATCCAAGCCAAGAACCTTAGAGGAGGAACTAGCCAAGATGGGAACTAGGCTAGTATGGTTTGGCCCTTTGGCTAGCAAGTGGCATTTGTGATGTCAATACAAGTGTGAGATTGTTATGCCAGCGGAGGGAGGCAGAGCAAACCCCTCCCCTCCCACTGCTGGAAGGAAGTGGAGCTGACTTGTCCCTTCCAGAAGAAAAGGAGAGGGTGGTCCATTTCCAAACTCATGGACCAGCCGCCATCCCCAGTTGACTGTAATATTATTATTATTATTACCCCTACTACTACTACCCCTACTACTACTACTACTACTACTACATGCTCCTGTATAAACCATGTGACCCTCATGGAGGCACTTCCGTCTCAAGCCAGCAGTGGGCGCAAGAGAGACCCGCTCTCTCCCCCTCTGGCACGGAAAGCAAACTGACGCATCCTTTCAGCAAGAAAGTCTCATTTCTGAACAGGGGCTCAGAGAGGGCAGAGCTCAAGGGATTGCTGTGTTTTGGGTCACGTATTGTTTTGGGACAGGCAAATTGGGTCCATTCATTATGCCGATCGAACTGGATTTGTCCCCATCCCTGCTTGGTAGCCAGGCTCAGCCCAAGGAGGTTTGTGAAGATGGAAGCTCCCGCCAGGCTGGCCCTAGACCTTTTGCTGCCCAGGACATTGAACAGCCACCAGGTGACAACTGCTACCCTATATAACCCCCCCACACATCCTCTTTATCATTTTGCTATGTGCACTACAACCAGATCTTACGTGGGGGTATGCTCGCATGTACGCAAAAGCACGGACAAGATCTGACGGGGACGTCCGAGCTCCCACGAGATTTTGTGTGACCATCCCCAGGCTTCCAGAGCCTGCATGCTCTGGAAGGACCTTGCCTGGTAAGGATGGCAAAGACCTTGGAAGCTCTTTCAGCGGTGTAGCTAGCTGCTTGGGTGCCTGGTGCAGGGCGGGTCCTGCAGCCAGGGGCGGGGCAATTCACGAACCTTTGCACCGTGTGGAGCCTCTTTGCCCCCCCTCACCTGTGGGGCGGCTGAGGGAGAGGCAGTAAGCAGGCGCAGAACCTGCAGGCACCTAAGCTGCCATGTCACTCCTATAAAGTTTTGTGAGCCCAATTTTTTTAAAAAAACCTCATTTTGTCACACACCCCCTCAGTGATGACACCTGGGGCGGCCAGCACCCCCGCACCCCCCTTCCTCTGCCCCGAGCTCTTTCTGTACCGGGAAAACCTTGCGTGGTTGAAGGCTGACCAGCTGAAATTGTGCAACTTAAACCACAGACTATTGAAATAATAGAATCATGGGATTGCAAGGTACCCCGGGGGTCATCTAGTCCAACCCCCTGCAAGCCAGGAATAACAGCTAAAGGAACCGTGGCAGAGAGTCACCCAACCTCTGCTTAACAACCTCCGGCAAAGGAGAGCCCAGCTCTTGAGCGAGTCTGTTCCCTGGCCGAACAGCTCTTGCCATCAGAAAAGTTCTTCCTAATGGAATCTGATCTCTTTTTATTTGAAGCTGTTGGAACCTTCCAGGGCAGCAGAAAACAAGCTTGCTCCCTCTTCCATGACACCACCCTCTAGATATTTGAAGACGGCTATCACATCTCCTCTCAGTCTCCCTTTTCCAAGGCTAAACATACCCATCTCCTTCAACTGTTCCTCATCAGGCTTGGTTTCGAGACCCTTGATCATCTTGGTCCCCCTCCTCTTCACACCTTCCAGCCTGTCAGTGTCCTTGTGGTGCCCAGAACTGGACACAGGACTCCAAGTGTGGTCTGACTGAGACAGAATAGACTAGGACTACTATTTCCATGGATCTGGACACTACGCTTCTCTTGATGCAGCCGAGAATAGCCTTAGCTTTTTTTGCTGCTGCATCGCACTGTTGACTCATGTTGAGCTTGTGGTCCACAAGACCCCTCGATCTTTCGTTTGTGCATCCTGCCTAAGCGCAGAACCTGACATTTGTCCCTCTTGAAATTCGCTTTGTGAGGTCGGCCCCGGTTCTCCAATCTGTTGAGGCCATCTGGCTGAACGTGTGTCAGACGCCATCGTGCTGTATTTGTTCAGGGTTGTCGAGCAGACACTGAGCAGCGGGTCGGACTGGGTGTCTTCTGAAGTCTGCTGCTGCTGCTGCTGCTTTAGAGATCCCCTTCAGGCGGCTCCTCTGGGGTGGGGGAGAGTGAAAAGAAGGCTAGTCAGGGTGGGAGGGAGCAGCGGAGCTGGGACCCTGCTTTGCCACCCCTCCCAAACCTGGCCGCGAGGCACTTGGTAGGCCTAGCCTTGCCTCCTGCGCTCTCCATCCAGTGCCCAGACTCTTCCGCTTGGCCCTGCTCCCAAAACTCACAGGGGAGACCCAGTGCCAGGGCCTGACAAGTGCCAACGCCAGCTAAGCTGTCTGCCCCGTGGGCCAGAGCTGCTTTGACGGAGGTGCCATCAACACACATACACCCCTCCCTGCCCCATTCACCAATTCCTGGAACGCACTGCCATCTTCAGAGCAGCCAGCCAATTCTCCGCGAAGTACGTCTTTCTCTGCTGGGCTCCTGGAAAGGGGCGCTAACAAGCCCGTCGCGCCATCGCAAAAGATTAGGTGCTCATCGTTGTTAACACGCTGTTTCCTCTAAATAAGTAATTTGTCCCCAAACTTGTGTTCAATTATTAAACAAAACACGGGCATAATTTGGCTGTTCCAGAGATGAAGCAGCGTGTGCGGAGTAGTCCCCGGCTGCCTTCTCCTCCTCGCTTGCAGGCGTCTTTGGGGCCGCCCTCGAAAGTGGGTGGGGGGCAGGGAGCCAGCAGGGGTCCAGCGCCCACAGGATGAGGAGGGGGAGCCGGGGGGGGGAGAGAAAGTGGGTGGGTGTCTATATGCAGGTAGGTGAGATGGGGGGGTGAGAAAGAGAGAAAATGGGGGGAGGATGGGGTGCGTTGGTGAGTGTGCATGGGGTGGGGAGAGAGAGAAGATGGAGGGAAGGGTTTGGGAGATGAGTGAGAAAAGAGAATGAATTGATGATAGTTGAATGATGTAGTCAGGGCTGGATTGAGGTTTGATGAGGCCCTCAGCTCCTGAAGGTAATGGGGCCTTTTATATGTCCAGCTGTCCTTTGTCAACAACAAATTGTCGCCGTTTTTTGTGTTGAATCTATGCTATATGGTAATTGATGGACCTAATAGGTATCTAAAGCCATTTGCACATAACACACAATCGCCTACACAACATAAAACACTGTTGCTGTGTGTAGGTTTTATTTTACTTGTTTTTTATCTTATATTTTGGAAATGTGCATCCAGTTTTTTCCCTTTAAATTTTCTGGGGGCCCCCAAGAGAGTGGGGCCCTAAGCTATAGCTTGTTTAGCTTATACGTAAATTCGGCACTGGATGTAGTGTTGGAGGGGGCCTACCTGGGGGGAGGGAGAAGATGATCCAGGTGAAGGAAGACCTGGCTATATACATGCCCTGCCCTCCTGTGGATCCTTCCTGAGTTGACAATTCACTTTTGAACATTCTCTTTAACTGGGATTTAGAATGGTCCAAAATCCCAGTTCAAGCTCTGGTTTTCCCAGTAGAGATGTATGGAAGTGAGAGCTGGACCATAAAGAAGGCTGATCGCCGAAGAATGGATGCTTTTGAATTCTGGTGCTGGAGGAGACTCTTGAGAGTCCCATGGACTGTAAGAAGATCAAACTTCTCCATTCTGGAGGAAATCAGCCCTGAGTGCTCACTAGAAGGACAGATCCTGAAGCTGAGGCTCCAATACTTTGGCCACCTCATGAGAAGAGAAGACTCCCTGGAAAAAACCCTGATGTTGGGAAAGCTGGAGGGCCCAAGGAGAAGGGGACGACAGAGGACGAGATGGTGGGACAGTGTTCTCGAACATAGCATGAGGGAGGCAGTGGAAGACAGGAGGGCCTGGCGTGCTCTGGTCCAGGGGGTCACGAAGAGGCGGACACGACTAAACGACTCAACAACAACAACAAAATCCCAGTGCTGGAGGCCCCAGGAGGGGAAAGGGCTGTGGTGCTTGAATCCTGCTTGCTGGTTTCCCAAGGAGGCCTCTGGTTGACCACCGTGGGAATAGGATGCTGGACTATGATGGGTCCTTGGCTGGTCTGCAGGGTCGTCTTAGGTCCCTATGGAACCTCCAGGTCCAGAGGTACTCTATCTAGATTCCTAGGTCATTGGAGGCACTTGACCCCTGTGGGAACAGGGGGCTGGGCTAGATGGGCCAGTGGCCTCATCCAGCAGGCTTTTCTTTCCCTCTTCTGTTCTTATATGGATCCTGGCCCTGGCGCCTTGAGCTGGGCTTGCCAGCTGAATGGCTGCTGCCCCATTTTTTCCTGTGGGACGCTGGTTTGACATCAACTGATAGGAAGTGCCTACAGAGGGTGGTGAATACAGCACAAGATATTATGGGCTGTCCTGTGAATCTGCTGGATGAAATAGTGGAAGAATGTTGCCTCAGGAGAGTGAGGGAAATTCTCAGGGATGATTATTCACACCCTGGCCGGCACTTTCTTGATCTCCTGCCCTCGGGCAGAAGATATAGAAGCAGGATTAGTTGCACCAACAGGGTAAAGAACAGCTTCTATCCGTGGGCTGTTGGGCTGCTGAATGAAAAGAGAACAACAGGGCAAGTGTCAGTAAACGAGGGGAATTAAGACTAAGAGAGCTGAGCGGGGCTGTGCTCGTGTAATCTCACCGTATACAGGTTGTACAAGTGACAATAAAGTATTTCAATTCAATTTCAATCAATTTCAATATGGTTGTGTCCAAGGAAAAACTCCACCTCCATTTGCTGTAGCTAAGATTGCCACCTTTGGTTGGGCAAAATAAAGGACAGGTCAGGATGAGCCTCAATACGTGAAAAAAGACGTCTCCTTTGAAGTCCTAACAGAACAGTGGACACTTTTCGCTCCGAAAAGGACGCTGACGTTTTTCTAGGGATGGGGGGCAGCCCCAGCTGCAGCTGCTCAGCCCCCAACCCATCCATCTTTTCTTCCATCACGAGCAAATTCCTTCCAAAGTCTCCTTCCCCCCCTCCTGCAACCCAGAGCCGTTGAATTATTCCGCAACAGGGAAATTTGTGGGTTTTTGACAAATCACGGCCGAGACCTCCTCCCTCCTTCCCGCCCTCTCCTCCGAAGGAAAGCTCTCTTCAAGGAGAGCATCTGATTAAAATAATACATTAGTCGGCCCTCAAACTTGTGCAATAATATCATGATTAAAAAGTGCAGCTGTGTGATGAGGGGCCTGCGGATGGGGAGGCAATTAAATCAATCTTGGAGGAGGAGGAGGAAGGCCTGAAAAGAGATGGGGGGGGAGGACTTGAAAGGGAGGCTTAAAGGAGAGGAGCGGCAGGCTTAATCGGAGCAGCTCAGAAGGTCTTAAGCTGAAGCTCAATGGAGTTATCTCTGGTTCC